CTAGCATCCTGGTCTTGAGGTGCATCCGGCACCCTTTGTCCCACTGTTTGCATAAAAGGCGTGACAGGACAAGAGTGCTGGGTTGGCAAGGGTGAGGGGTGTGGCCAGTTGGCGAGAGCAGAGCCACCAAGGAGCAGCAGTTGGGAGAGGGGCCCAGGAACACAGCAGGCTGGTACTTGGTGGCCGGCTGCAGCCCACCCACCTTGTGCGGTTGAACTCTAGCAAGCAATGCACAGTGCTGGGCCAAAACCAGGATTTGCAGAAGCCAGTTCAGAATCAGAAACGGTTTTTCCCTCCTTGCTCCGTGGCGAGAACATGTTACGGAGCCCCTTCTTCAGTTTTCTGGGGGGCGCAGGCTGTCAGAGCAAGTGGGCAGCTCCGAGTTTCTGGAGTCCTGCTCGAGGTCTGGCCAGCCAAGGGAGCTGGCTCCCAGTGCCCCAGCCAGGCCAGAGGCAGTCAGGGCTGCATTTTGGGCTGTAGGCACGCGCTCCTCTGGCCTGCACTTGGTGGGAAACACATTCCCTGGGTAGTGTGTGGGGTCACTGGGGTCCTGGGGTGTGAGGAGGGGCCTGCTGCGTGGCCACGAGGAGACTTGGTCTCTCCTTAGGGTGTGTGCCCGTGTGACAGGAGAGGGAGGTGCCCACAGCGCGCGCGAGAGTGCCGATGAGGGAGTGGTCATCCAGGTTTCCAAGTTACAGAGGAAGGATGGACCCCAGCTGGGCAGTCAGGGTGCTCTGTGCTGCAGTGCTCTGAGCATGCGCATTGCACTGAGTTGGGCCGCACCCCGCTCCTCTCCTGTCCCCGCAGCTAATTGACCTCTACCTCTCCAGGCCTGTCTTTTAGGCCCCTGTTCCCTCCCCCACCCCCTTTTGCTTCCCCAGTGCTGGGAATCAAACCCAAGGTCTTCACCCCAAGCTGCTACTCCTTCGGTCCTTTTAAAAAATTTAAGTTTTGTGATAAGGGTTAACTAAGTCACTAAGTTGCCCAGGCTGGGCTCACAGGTGCTGTCCGCCTGCCTCAGCCTCCTCAGGGTTTGGTGATCTGCGCGCATCCACCCTGCCTTTCGGCTTCCAATCAGGGCTTGCGCACTCGCTCATCCCCCACCTCCTAAGTACCCAAACTGTGCTAGGCTCTGGGAAAGCAGAACGGATCGGAGCTCTGACTGAGCCGCGTGCTGGTGAGCGCCACCGCACGCCTGCGGGGATGGCTGCAATTGTAAGATGCTCAGCATCGATGATGACGAGGGGGCGAGGGAGCCCGCGGGGGTATAAAACGTGTGACCACTAGGGAAACGCCATGGTGGAGCTAGACAGAAGTAAGCGTGGATCTTGCGCGTGGCCCAGCGATCTCTGGGTGCACGTCCGAAAGGATTAGAAACGGGGTCTTGAAGAGCTGTCTGAACGCTCGCGTTCAAAGCGGCGTTTTTCGCGGTGGCCAAGAGGTGGAAGCGGCCCCGTGTCCTTCCACAGAGGACAAGCGCGAGGTGGTCCGTCCGTGCAAGGGCTCACGTAGCCCTAGAAAGGCAGGAAATTCCGACAGATGGTGCGGTGTGGGTGAACCTTGTGTGCGTCAAGCGCAGGGAGGAGCATCACAGAGAGGTGTATCCTGCGTGAATCCCTGGATGAGTGCCCTGGAGCAGTTGGAGAGCCCTTAAGGTAAACAAAGCAAAATACAAAAGCCCTGCTAGCCTCCTTCTTCGTATCTTCTTAGAAAAGTTAGAGACGTCATATGATGGTGAACCCAGCACACTCATGTTTTGGACGCAGCCAGTATATCCCTCAACCCATGAATGGGCATAAAGAGCTTGGCATTCATCTGCTGCGGAGGCTGGAGTGGTGTGTAGGAACGTGGGTGTATTTTGGGGCCACAGTGTTAAGTGAAACACATTACACACACAGGCTGGAGTGTCATATAGTTTTGACAAAGCCAAGATAGGAATAAAGAGTAAAATGACAGTAGATGAAAAGTGGGGAGCTCGGTCTCTCGAAGGTGAAGCGGGTCAGAAGATGTGGACCCAGCACTCGGGAGGCTGAGACAAGAGGATGGATGCTAACCTGAGCTCCATAGAGAGACCCTGTCACAAAATGAAACAAAAATAAAACTAACTGCGCCGTGATCCTCCCTTCTTTCTAGTCTCTTGCCTCTCTAGATTGACTCCCCAGCTACGCAAAATTTCCCTCCCTGTTTCCTGCCCTCTGTGGTTGGCTTTGTTTTCTGTTATTTATGCACTGGACCTCTTCTGACGAGCCACCCTGGGGTACCCCACACGCTGTGGCTGTGGTATCTCTCGTAGCATCCTGGTCTTGAGGTGCATCCAGCACCCTTTGTCCCATTGTTTGCATACAAGGCAGAGCAGAACAAGAGGGAGGAGGAGAAAAGGGGAATAGAACAGGGAAGGGGGCTGTGCGGTGTGCACTGCCAACTCCTCACGGCGTGTAGATGCTATGCACTGCAAATGTGTTCTCCCAGAGCAAGAAGAAAAGCGGGATGCTTGGTACCAGCAGCCGGGGCTCGGGCTGGGGCTGGGCATTCAGTGCTTCACAGGGACAAAGGGTGGGTTCAGAGAGACGAGAACGTTCCAGAGAGGGCTGGGGTGTGGGCTGCACGGCCAGAGCGGCATGCTTGAATCATCATGCGCTCAGACACAGTGAAGGTGGTGCATTTCGGGTTGGGATATTGGACCTTGATTTAGAAAAGAAGTTGAAAAACGAGAATGAAAGAAGATGAGCGGTTGGCTCTGGGAGGGAGCTGGGATTTCATTCCAGGGTGTTGAGAGAGCCTTGGCAGACCTGCCAGCGTCTTGTCCTATTTGGAGAGCTGCGTGACTTCTTCACCCAGTGTCTGCGGCATCCGTGTGGTGGCTTTGACGTGGCAGGGAGTGGTGACACTCGGTGAGGGAAGGCATAGGAAAGTGGTTGGTGGGATTGAATTTGCACCCAGGACCTTTACAGAGATAATCAAGGTAAAATGAGGTCATTGGGGTGGACTCTAGCCCAGGATGAGGGAGGCTTTTAGAGAAAGGAGAAGTGTGGACATGGGGACATACACTCAAGAAGTATAAGGTGAAGCATACGGAAGGCAAAGAATTGGTATCTACAAACCAAAGAGAGAGAGCGGCGTGGAGCAGATTCTTCCTCACAGCCCTCTAGAAGAGGAACCAAGCCTGCCACCATCTTTGGTCCCAGGCTTCTGGTCTCCAGGACTTCATGAGAATCCATTTCTGTTGTAGCCACCTGTTCTGTGGGACTTGGTGAGCCTGCCTTTGCAAATGAACACAGGACTTTATATGATTGGGTCTGGAATTAAGACTTACATCTCCTAGAGCCTGGCATTTGGACCTAGGTTCCTGTCCACCTTCCGATATGTGAGTTCACCATTGCTTCTGTTCTAGAAAGTTCTTTTTCATTCCTTGTGTGGGAATCATCATTGCTTTTGTTTTTACATTGTTGCCTTGATACAGGGTCTCACTGTGAAGTTCAGACTCAGTGATCCTCCTGTCTTAGCCTCCCCAGTGCTGGGATTACAGGCATGTTCCACCACACTTGGTTTTGGGGCTGGCATGGCATGCAATACTGGGGATCAAGCCCGGGTCCTTGTGCTTGCCAGTTAGGCGCTTAGACTGCCGAGCCGTCTCCCAGCCCTCTGTGTTTTTATTGCTGTTGTTAATAGTTCTAGGCTTTTCATTTAGCATGGAGAATCAGATTTTTCTGAGAGGTGGAGATGTGGCAGGGTCCCTTGGACAGCCTGGTGGGTTGAATGATCACGTGGGGCCTGTAGGGTGTATTCACTCCACGGTTCTTTGGTATTGAGTGAGGTCCACTTCAGGGCCACTTGCTTTAAGCCACCTGCCTGTAGATGTCTTCTGGCTTTTATGCTGTGGTGATTGTAAAGGTATTCTCTGGAAAAATCTTTCCTTTCCATTTTTTCAAGGTGCCCTCGTTGTGTTTACTCTTACAAAAATTTGAAAAGGTAGCCAAGTGCCAAGAGAGAAACCAGAACAAAACAAAACAATGGGCGTAGAGCCCTGTGTGGGTTTTGTTATGGGGAGGGAAGTCCATGAGCTGAGCAGAGAGAAGCAATGCTGTGATACTGTTTATTTGTGTGACTTCACATCATGGTTTTCCTGTCTATTTTCCAAGCTATTCTGTTCCTATTCATAAGAGTGTTGCATGATTTTTTTTTCAGTCATAATCTGTCCATTTCTTGTGTGTATTGTTCTTAGGGTGGCTTGCTTCCTATTTATTTCTTCACCTCCCATTTCTGAGAGACCAGAGACCATTTCTGTCTACCTATCCATCTGTCCCTCTCTCTGACCCTCCTTTACCGATACATTCACCTTTACAGCTTACCCATCTACTCATTCAGCCACCAGTTCATCCATTCATCCATCTACCCACCTATCTATCTACCCATCCATTTGTCCATCCACCCACACATTCACCATTCACCCACCCACCCATCCACCCACCCACCCATCCATCTACCCCTCCACCCACCCATCCATCCATCCATCCATCCATCCATCCAACTATGTACCATCTATTCACCCCTCCACTCAAACACCCACCCACCCATCCTCCCACCCATCCAACCACCCCACCCACCCATCCATCCATCCATTCAACCATCTACCCCTCCACTCAACCACCCACCCACCCATCCAACCACCTACCCATGCATCCATCCATCCAGCCACCCACTATCCATCCACCCCTCCACCCACCCATCCACCCCTCCACTCACCCACCTACCCATACATCTATCCACGGACATGTCCACTCATCCATCTGCTCATTCACCCACTCTCCCATGACCCATCTATCAACTCATCTATTTGCCCACCATCCATCCATCCATCCATCCATCCATCCATCTGCCCCATCCCCACCCATCCACCCTCCTATGTGTTCACTCACTCATCCGCTCTACATCAGCACACTCATCCACACACCTATCTAGTACAAATGATTTTGTTTAAAACAAAACAAAACAACAAACCATTAAAATGGTTATTTTTCTGGAAGAGCAGACAGGGCTTTCATCTCTTCCCTTCTACCTTATTAAATATTAGTTCAGAAATCCATGGTGGGCTGAGCGGGTTCGCTCCCATTTTCAGGCTTGCTCACTGTAACATTTGCACATAAGGGGGCTTTGCTGCCCTTGCCAATAGCGATGCCGGTTGTTGCTGGTCATCTTGTCACAGCAGGAAGTTGTAGCATGATGATCGTGACCAGAGCCGAGTGTGGCCAGCAGGGGTGTGCGCATCTGCTCTGAGTGGAATGCTCCGATTGTTTCCCCACTGCTGAGCCTAATTAGATAATTATTAATAGTCTCCACCTTCCTATTTTTAGACTCCCTTTAGTAAACGGGGTGCGATCGTGAACTCCTGACCATCTCGTAGAGCCAAGAGCTGCAGATGACATTTGTCCATTTAGAAAGACAAGAGCTGGTGAGATAGCTCAGCAGACTAGGCCTTTGCTTAGGCAAGCGCAGGGACTGGGGATCAATTCCCGGCACCACATGCCAGGCCAGCCCCACCCCTAGGGGTGGTGACACACACCTGTAATTCCAGCCCTGTGGAGGTTGAAAACAAGAGAATCGCTGTGGGTTTGAGCTGCATGGTGAAACCCTGTACCAAATACATACATTAAAAAAAAAAAAATCTAAAAAAGACAGGGAATTCATTTGGTTAAGCTGTGAACTGTTAAAATGACCTTTTTAATTTTGTCTTTTAGAGACAGGGTCTCACTATGTAGCTCAGGCTGGGGTTGAGCTCACTTTGTAGCCCAGGCTGATCTCAAACTCACAATGATCCTCCTGCCTCAGCCTCCTGAGTGCTGGGATTACAGGAATGCACCATCATGTCAGGCTGCTAAAATGGCCTTTAAACCCCCTCAGCCCCCACAAGTAGAGTGAATATTGACTTATTGTCACCTACCAAATCTTGATGTTCATTCTAGGTTGGCTTCCGGGTGGGGGGCCTGGGGTACTGCTGGCCATCCTGTCCCCATGAAGTGTAGGCAGATTTCTAACCCATCCACGCAGCAGTTCTCAGAGGAAAGGGGCCTCTTCAGCAGGACCCTTGGGGACCCTTGGCGCTGTGTCTTATGTCCCCAGGCAGCCCACACTTGGGACAGTCTGGTCCAAAGTATCTGGCAGTTTCTCTGTTGGCAGTTTCTGTGTTGATTTATGAGGCTGAAGTGGATGTAACAGTCTCAGACTGGTGGCAACACAAAAACACCTCTCAGGGCACAGCGTAAGTCAGTGGTGATACACGGTGGTGTTCAGCAAAAACAAAAACAAAACAATTTGTCCTGCTGCTGTGGGCTTCCGCAACATGGGCTGCTTTCTCCATCCTGAACCCTGCTTGGCTCTGTGGAGAAACTGTTTGGTAACTCATGAGGCTATGTGCAATGTCTGCCGTCCTCTTGGTGAAAGGGGGGTTGTTCTCAGCTGCTGGACTCAGTACAGAATTCTAACACACTGCCGAAGATGCAAGTGGTTCATAGGCAAGAAAGTCAGTGTTTGCCAGGCATGGTGGCGCACGCCTGTCATCCCAGCACTCTGGGAAGCTGAGGCAGCCGGAGCCACTTAGCCAAGTTAGTGAAATCCTGTCTCAAAAGAAAAAAATAAGCGGACTGTGGATGTAGCTCAGTGTAGAGGCCCTAGGTTCCATGCCCTGAGGGATTGCCCAGTAGTAAATCGTGAATTCATTAATTGTTCATGGCAAGGCTGTGGGAAATACAGAAAGAAGTGTACGTGCTAGAAAACAAGCTGTTCTGGAAACATCCATGTTGACACCTCCAGAGCGGAAGTCACAGAGCATCCAAGGCTTAGTGTTGAGAGGAAAGGATTCCTTGTGGCCCCGTGGCTGGCGTTCCCTGTTTCATTGGTTTCCAAGGTAAGATTTGAATTGTTTACTAAAGGAAATTGGCGTAATAAGTCTCCTCTGGCACAGATTTTCAGAATCTGAGTGGAGCCCTTGGGATGTTGCTCAAGATTTGCAGAATGGGGAGGAGGGTGTGTGCATATGTGTGTGTGTGCATGTGTGTGCGTGCGTGCGTGCGTGTGTGTGTGTGTGCTGTGATAGCAGATTAAAGTCTTTTTTTATCATTAGCATTTTTTCAGTCTGTAAACCTGTTCAGAGTAGCTCTGTTTTATGTGTGTGGAGGTGCAATTGTGTGGTGTGCATTGTAATATTCAAGCCAGCAGTCTGAAGGGTAAAATACTGTCTCTCATTTTATTAGGGCAAGTTGGAGCTGTTAGCCAAGTTAGAGATGCGGTGATCTTAGCTTTGATAAAGGGAGAAGGACTTTGGGTACCAGGACAGGTGTCCCTGTGGACATGTATGATACCTGGGAGGGGGGCTGAGCAGCACCCCACTTCATGATTAGCCCCCCATTACTCCAGTCGTGGCAGCCCAAAATGTCTCTGGGTGTTGCCAAGCGTGCCCTGAGGTCCAGTGTTGCCTGGCTGAGGACCTTGCCCTGGGACGAAGGAGTGTGTGTAGGATGGGGTGCGAAGGAGTTAAGCTTGTGCCATCTCAAAACGCACCCCAGTGGTTGCTGGCATCACTTGCCTGTTGCTAGGACAACTACCCAGCACCCACAGCTTAAAGTGGGAAAGGTTTATTTATTCATTTATTTTTGTCTTTTTGAGACAGCTCAGGTTGACCTTGAGCTCGCTTCGTAGCTCAGGCTGGTCTCGAACTTGCGGCTATCCTCCTGACTCAGCCTCCTGAGTGCTGGGATGATAGGCATGAGCCACCACTCCTGAGTATGAAGTTAATTCTGGCTCACAGATTTTAGAGGATCCAGCGTGTAGTCAGCTGGCTTGAAGGTTCGAAGCTGGATGGAAGTATCTGGTGGAAGGGAACTGCTCAAAGTACTTGGCGAGAGGAGGAGGAGGAACAAGGATGGGGAGGGAGGGAGTGAAACACTTCCAGTCCTTGCTGCAGGGAGTGCCTCTTTCGAGAAGGCCCCGCCTGTCAGAGAAGACCCTCCCCCTTCCGGAGAAGGCTCCGCCTCTCAGCAACAAGTGGGTTCTAAGTGCTCAGAACCAGGCTCCTCTGAAAGCCCCTGAGACGGGCGAGGCTCCCAGAACACACTTTACTCTTGCATGGCTCCAGCTGCCCTTTCGTGCCCTGACACACATATTGGTTGTTTTTTTTTTTATTTTTTATTTTTGGTCTAAAATAAAAGCATCACTCTTCTCTCATTTCTTCACACTTGACTCTCTTACCGAGATCTCCACATGCACGTAAAATTCATTGACTCCTTTTTGTTTCTGTCTTTTAAAATTTTTAGGTTTTCTAGAGTGTGTTTGCGGTACGTCACGTGTGCCTTCCTCGGGATGAGCTGGTGCATGGACAGGACACCGCGTTGCTGCTTGTGTCACTCCTCCCAGCCCTTGTTCCCTCTGGCTCTCGCTTCCTTTCCCACTGGCAGAAGATCCAGGTCCCTGTTGCCTGTCATCGCCCTTTTAGTTTGCTCTTGTCTCATGTTTGCGTGTCTCACGTAAGAGGAACTGTGATAGTTGAGCCTTGGTGTCTGATTCATCGCACTTAGCATCGTGGTCGTCAGGTGCGTCTGCGTCCCGCATGTGACCCAGCTTCTCCTTGGAGGCCAAGGAGGCTCTCCTGTGTGCGGACACCATGTTTTCTGTATCTTTTTGTCAAGGAGCATATGGAGCTCCCCAAAGAGTCAAAGGCAGGCTTTGGGGACCCCTCGGCTACCAGGGTCCACTCTGAGGTGATGCTTGGCTCTGGTGAGCAGCAAAGTAGAAAGGAAGAGCCAGTTGTCAGGGTCTTGGCTTGGGCACTGCTGCCCACCACGAAAGCCACGTCCACGCCCGCAGGAAGGGAGAGTACCTGAGGATATTTGATCATCGTCATAGAGTCCTACTGGGTTAGGAAGTGGGGACACCATGGCCATGGATAGGTGGCCCGTCTGGAAGCTGTCCCCTAATTACTTGCGTAGTGGCACTGTCTCCTGGAGAAGCAGTGGATGTAGCTAAGATGCAGTTGGTGGTTTATGTGGCAGCCGAGCACACACGCGCCCTGAGCTGAGCTAGAGAAGGTGCCTGGGAAGGGACCAGCAGCATCTGCCCTGGAAGAAACCATCTGCTCCTCTCCATGGCCCTCGGTGACCTTCAGTGCCTTTGTGTGGCTCAGCCCTCCCTTGCTGTGTGACCATGTGCAGGCTGCTTGGCCTCTCTGTGCCTGCTTTTTCTAGTCTTCAGAATGGGAGTAATAGTTGAGCCTAGGATTGTGGGGAGGGATGACTGGTCAGGAGCCGGAACAGAGCTCGGTGCCCGCCCATCTGCCATCTTTTCCCAGCTGAAGCACGGTGTGGGGATAAAGTATTTAGCATCACCAGGGCCCTGCGGAACCCGCAGTGGCTTCCCTTCCTGTGGCAGTGTGTTCCTTTGCACACCTTTGTGTAGTAGGGGCTGCACCCTACACTCTCAGCCCAGGGATGTCCCCCAGGGTGTCCTCGGGGTTTGCTCTGGCTCCACACCCCTCACTTCTGTCTCAGCCCCTGGACAGCAGTGGGTGTCAGCGGCTGCTTGTCTAGGTGACAGGGAGGCTGGGTCCCCAGTGACAAGTTGGCTGGAATTTCAGGGTCACACTTGGTTGTGGCCAGCCCCACCCACATCCTTGAGTTCCAGCTCTGAGTCCCAGCTCTGAGTCCAAACAGCTGCGGATCAAAATATGCAGAAATAAATTTGTGTTCAGCCAGGCATGGGGGTGTGTGCCGGGAGTCCCAGTTACTCAGTAGGCTGAGGCAGGAGGGCTCCAGTTCAAGGCCAGCCTGGGCAACTTAGTGTGACCTTGTCTCAAAATTGGGGTGGGGAGGGAAGGGGCCTTACATGGAGCACTTGCCTGGGATGCCTGAGGCCCTGAGCAGAACAGAACAGAGCAGAGCCAAAACAAAACAGCCACAGGACCACTACAGACCTTTTTTGTATCATTCTTTCCTAAGTAATACAAAACAAGGTAAACCAATACAGCTGCTGGGCGTGGTGGCTCATGCCTGCAGTCCTAGCAACTGCTGTGAGGCTGAGGCAGGATGGTCACAAGTTTGAACTGGCCTTTAGGCAACTTGGCAAGAGCCTCTCTGAAGATAAAAAACAGCAGAGGGCTGGGGTTGCAGCCTGTGCGTCTGTCCTCTGCTGGCCAGCTCAGCTGGGGAGCTGTTTCAGTTCTCACCAGGATTCCCTAACAGGGCAGGCCCTGGAGGTTTGAACCCACATGAGCACGGAGGGGAAGCCAACACGGGGAGCAGCAGGTTTGGGAATTTCTAGCAGACCAGCGCTTCTCTAAGTGCAGCTGTGGGCTTGCAGCAGTTGGGACACAGGCTGTGTTCTTCGGGGACCCAGAGTCTGGGCGGCCCGTGGTCTGTTTTGATAGAGATTCTTTCCCCTAGATATAGACGGTGACACAAGGCAATAAAAACGGGGCACTGTGACCTGTCCTGGTGTCCTCTCTGGAAACATGTGACAACCTAGAGGAGGCCTGGGCAGGCCTGCACTGACCCAGGGGTCATGCAAATGGGCGTAGACTCTGGGACACAAGCTCTCCACTTCGAATCCTGGCTCCACCGTTTCTGCGCTGTGCAAATTTGGGTGTTGACTGACCAACCTTTCTATTTTTTCTTCTCTAGAAACAGAAGCAGTCCAGCCTAGTGGTTTATGCCACTCGTCCCAGCTCCTGAGGAGGCTGAGGCAGGAGGATCACTTTTTTTTTTTTTTTTTGCGGAACCTAGGATTGAACCTGGCAGGCCCTTGCGCTTGCCAGGGAAGCACTTATTCCACTGAGCCATCTCCCCAGCCCCATGGAGGATCAATTTTGGGGCCAGGAGTTTAAAGACCAACCTGGGCAACACAGCAAGCCACTGGCTCACAAAACAGAACAAAGCACAGCTGGGTGGAGGTTCACGCCTGTGTTACCAGCACCGAGGGAGGCTGAGGCAGGAGGATCATTGCAAATTTTAGTTCACAAACTGCAAGTTTGGGCAACTTAGCAGCGAGTGGAAACAGAAAAAAGAATAAGAGGTGAAAGGGTAACTCCGTGGTGAGCGATCCTAGGTGTGATCCTGAGCATGTCATTGAGTGGGGTCACGAATCCGTGACTTCCGATCTCACAAGGTTCCTGGTCCTCATTTATGGGTCCCAGCCAGGGTGGGTATAGGGTCCCTAAAGTGCATACTGACATCTTGCATGTGGATGGCCAGCGGCCAGAGTGCCCACCTGGGTGGGTCAGCAGGCGAGGAATAGCCTGGCCCAGGTCGGTCACCTGCCCCATCGTGACCTTGGAACGGCTTTTCACTTTTCACTTCAGGGCTAATAACTTGCTCCCTCCGGTCAGGCGGTAGGCGGGCAGGCGGGCAGGCGGGCAGGCGGGCAGGCGGGTAGGCGGGCAGGCGGTGAGTCTAGAGGTTTCGGTTGCCTCTGGTCCTTTGGTTTATTTATTCAGCATATGTTTAAGGAGGGAGGCCCAGGGGGAAAACAGGAACCAGGCTTCTTGGGCCCAGCTGCAAGTCCACAAAAAAGCATCAGAAAGAAACACGTTGTCACCCCAGAGGAGTAAGGAAGTCGCCACGTGTCTCTCTCTCCCTCTCCCCCTCCCCTCTCCTCCCCCTCTTCTTCTCCCTCTTGCAAAGGGTTCAGCTCATGCTGCTCTGCTTCCAAAACCAGAGGGAACTTGCCCACCTCTGATGAGAGAGCTTGCCCATCTGGTGAGGGAGCTGCCAAGTGGTTGTTCTCCAAGGGCGCGTGCTCCTCAGGGGTCCGTGTGTAGAATTCCTTCCTAGCCAGCGGCGTCTGGTTTTAGAAGTTCAAGCATTGGTGTACCCCGAGTGGCTTTCATTCCTCCTCACTCCTTTCCATGTGTGGTCCGGCCCGTCTGCACCACACGATGGTCTCCTTCCTCCCATGGGCTCGTGTAGGTGTGGAACACATCTTCGTTCTTTTTGTAGTGCTTTCCTCGTCCTCCAACTCTCGTCCCCTTCCCTTTTGCAAAAGGCCTCCCTCCTTGTTTCCTGGCACATGCCTTGGATTCCGCTCTGTACTTGTCTTCTGGGTCTCTCATGGAAGAGGAAGCACACAGCACTTAAGTCTGCGTGTCTGATTCACTTCACTTTGCGTTATGGTCTCAGCATACATCTCTGTTCCTGCACACGATTGAGGTTGATCCTTGAGGGCAGAGGAGTGCTTTCCTGTGGCAGCATTTCCCTCATCCACCACCCCCTCCTGCAGGGTGGCTCCCCAAAGCGTATTAATGATGACCGTGCAAGGATGGGCTGAGGTCCAGCCTGCTCAAGGCCCCGGGCTCCAGGGTGGAGTTTATCATTGGACAGAGCCTGGTTCTTTTGGTTCGACCTGGGATCCATTCTCTGCATCCCTGCCTGACTGTGGACACTGAAGGCCTCACCCTGTTCCCCACGGCTGGCTGGACTCTGCCTCTGCAGCATGGCCTGGCAGGAGGGGGTGTCCTGGTGTTCTCTCGTCTCTCACGTGCTATCCCTGTGGCCACGGGCACACACACAGCTGTCAGAGACACACAGACGCAGCAGGAAGTTCCTGGGAGACAAGAGGTGCTGGAAGCAGCTAAGAATACCCCATAGTGTGGGCGTTCAACAATCAGTGCACCAGAGCCCAGTTCCTGGCTGGAGATTGGCTCCACCCAACAGTGTCCTTGGTGTGTGACCTTCAGCCCCATGCTGTTGCCATGTTCCTCCATTACCAAAACAACACAATGGGTAGGAGCATCCACACATGGCCGGAAGGACGGCCCACGAAGCTCCTGGTGCGCCATGCCTGGTTGGTGCGATCAACTGCTTCTTATTTCAGGGAAGCAATTTTGGCCACGCTCGGGGAGTCAGTCAGTGCATCCCCACTGGTGGACAGCCGTCCCCACCAGAACCTTCTGATCTCCCTAGACTGCACATGCACCCCCGCGAAACACGACTTCCCTGCCCTTTCTGTCTCTGGGACCCGATGGCTGTAGAGATCCCTGAGGTCAGTGTGTGCCCTCTTCGTCAAGTGGGCGTTACTCAGCGTTCTGTCCACACGTGCAACTGAGGACTCCCTTTCCTTTTCGGAGGCTGAGTCAGTCGTCTTCCACATCGGGGAGGGACTGTCGTGTTGATCATTTCTGCATCACCGAGGTCCCTTGAGACCTAAATGCCAGTGTCGCCGGCACGTCTTGCACACTCGTGTCCAGGCTGCAGTAGCTGGAGAATTTTCCATCGTGCGTAAGCAGAGCAGGAGCCTCGCTGCCCCCATTGCTGAGCACCCTGAGAAAGGTGACACCAGCTGACCTGGGGGAGCAGCAGGGCAGAGGGCAGTGGAGCCAGCTCCAAAACTGTCAGGCAAGGCACCTCTGCTCCTGCTCCCGCCTTCGGTTCCCCTTCTTCTGTCTGCAGTTTGTCGGTGCATTTGGGGGGTTCCTAATGTCGCTCTTCTTTGGGGGTCATTTTAGCAGCCCGTGCACTAGGCTGTGAGTCTACACTCGAGTACAGACTGTGTGCGGCTTCT